AAAAAATAAAAACATATTTGTGTAGTTAATAGAGGGAGTAGCAGACTACAGAAATTAGTAAAATATAGCAAAGAATTAGGTTTCCATGTACTATGTTAGAAAAGATCATGACATTCATTAAGCTCATTTTATGAACGTGACCATTAAAAAAATAACTGTCTGAAATCAAAATGTTGCCTGCTTTCTCTTAGTATCTGTAGCAATACAGAGGTAATCTGAGCACTGATTTCCATTTGGCAGCTGATTTGTATATGATATCACACGTGAGGTTTTACTGCCGCAGTGGGACCCATTAGTCAAAATATGATATCTTCATATGTTGTTTTGTGTGCTGTGTCTTATCACAGCTTCATTCTACAATTCAGTCGGTTGACAACTTTTTTTAAGGGTGAATGTAGAAAATTCAACTGCTCCTAACTGCGTGGTTACTGTGCAGTTCTTTCTGTGTATTTCTGACTATGATTCTGCATTAAAAATACAGTAGTCAGGAATTAGGCTATTTCTTTGTGTTTAACTAACTTCTGCTAAAAGAAACTTCCACATAGTCGGTCTTCATTAAATGTGCAGATTTTCCAAAATGAAGTGGATGAATTCTAAAGAGAGGTTTAATTAAAGAGTAAAACAACATCCTCTGTTTGTTTGTTTTTCTTTTTCTGGCAACAAATAGTGTGTAAACAATTTCTTTAAACAAAAATGTATTCCTCATACTCAATTTGGTCTTTTTTTTTTTTTTTTTTTTTTTTTTTTAATTTAATTTTTTCCCACACAGTTCAGTTTTGGGAGGCACCCAGAAGCTGTAACAGGTAAATAGGCAGGAGTAGCACCAGCAGGAATCAGTACATTCATTGGAATTTGGAAGTTTATTTGTTGCTATTTTGTCACAGCCTTACTGAAATCTGCTGCTTAAACTTATTTCCCTAAATGACTTGAAGTGAGTGTATATATGCATGTAGTGTCTACCTACCTACCTACCTATCTATCTATCTATCTATCTATGTATCTATCAGTGAATATCTTTTCCAAGACTGAGGGAAAATAGTATGATGTGTTGTGTTGTCTGTGTTATCTGAAGTAGAACATTTAAAGTCAAGTTGCAAATTGTCTGTGTTATTGTGTTGATAAAATGCTCATCTTCTGTTGCAGGATTCTCTTCTAAAGAATTTTGAAACAGATTATCTCTTGTGGACAACAAAATACTACCTGGTCACTCAAAGCCATTACCCGTGGGTGGGGAAAAAAGATTTGGTAAGTCTAGAGTTCTTATTATCAGATAGACATTTATTATTATGTTTTTAACAACAAGCTACTTTTTGTAAAAATTGCTATTACATGAATTTATAATTCATCCTCAATTCAATATGCCACGTCTCTGGTGTTGGTGAAGAAGAATGCAGCTGTGTTGTGTGCCATTTTTGGAGAGCAGTTCATTTCTGTCCACAGAGGTGAGGAGGGAGTTGCTATTGCCAAGAAGAAAAGACACTTCGTATAGCAGGATGAAAACTTGTAAGATTATCTAGCCACTGTTCTGCAATGTTTAGGAAGGTGTTCAATGTGTGCTGAAAGGAGAGAAGCTGCAAAGTTTGTATTGGGGAATTCAATTAGCTTTTCTTTGGCTTGATTAGTTCAGCTAAGTTACTTCTCAGTAACCAATTATTTTATAACGCCTGGTAACATCTAATTTGACGTTACAGTGTCAGAAATGCACTTCAAGCTTGTTGAAAGATCAGCAGCCCCCAAAAGACATCAGCTAAATGTTCAAAATATTCTTCAAAATAACTTCTTGAACATTAATGGCAAAATGTTACCCTGAGGCAGGGAAATTGACTGCAAATGTTAGAAGTTGCAAATAAGAAGGTTTTAGCAAAATAAATGACCACATTGTTGTGGAGGGAAGTGGAGGGAGGATTCATAGTTAAAATACCACTAGTTCCAACTGGCCTCTAGCAGCCTAAAATTTGCATTAAATAAATTTTCATATTCTCCTCAGTTACTCTCTCCCTAAATCTTTGAAAGTACCAGCTTCTTTTGCTATCTCTCCCAGGAGGAATGAAAGCAAGGTGTACATTCTCTTTGAAAACCTTCTTCAAAATGCCTGTCAATGTTTACTATATATTTGTAAAGTGACACAGTGAAAGATTTATGTGATCATTAACAGAAGTAGGATGACTCATTTCCCTGTCTTTCATGACTGTTTTTGCTAAGCCTTTTGTTTCCCCTGGCTGCCTGAAGGAGAAATTCTGACAATGCTGGCATGTTCTGAACAGACTTCCAAGGAGCTGGAGGAAACTGACCCTTTTGTTTACAGTCCCTCAAAGTGACCTAAGGATTCTTCACATCTTATAAATTTTCTGTGTAGTAGCAGTACCTGTGATGCCCTCAACATTTTTTCATTCCTCCTGCACTGTTGTACATTTGTGTCGCCCTCAACCTGTCCTCTTGTCAAAGCAGTTGCTTTATAATTATTTTGCGTTTTGGAGGAAGATGTTGAATTTTTCATGTTAAATGAAAAAATGATTAAAGGCAAATGGCTAAACAAGGGGTTTTTTTGCTTAGTTTTTTGTTGTTTTGTTCCTATATAGTCTTGTGTCTTGATTTTAGGAATTTTGTCTGAATTGCCTGAGGTTATATTGGCGAAGCAGTACCTGTAGCTTTACTGATAAAAAGTGGCCTGAAACAAATATGGATGCTTTACTAAGAATCAGGTGTTGGCTAAAATAGATACACAGTTGATGTAATGAATTTGGGGGGGGGAGGAAGGAAAAAAAACCCTAATCAGAAAGTTATTAGACACATGGAAGCCTATTAAGACCTGGAGAATACTTTCTGCTTTTTTGTGGATTCACACAAAGCAAAAAATATGTTGGTGGCCTGACATCCCAAAGTGGCTTTGAATTGTCTGAATCACAGAGCTACATCATGGTGACTCATTCTCATTGCACAGTGACATCCCTGCTGGGAAAGAACTGCTGTATCTATCTCCCTATTAGCAATTTCACTTTGTGCGTTTCTGCTTTTTTTCTGCCACTGAAGTTTTTGTTTCTTCAGTTGTAGTGTGTCATTTATTTCTGTATTAGAAGCAAGTGCTTACTCCTCCAAATGGAAAAGGAATATAAAATCCTCTGTAGACTCCCTAGGAGTTTTGACAGAACTGAAGTCCCTCCCCCATGAATACACAAGAGGACAGAACATGCACCAGTTTCAAATTTACAGTTTGCGTACAACTTACTTTCACGTGCTTAACGCCTAAGCCCTTCACAATGAAGATACTCATCTTTACAAAGCAAGTAAGTGAGCAGCCACTGAAAGAAAAGCATTTCTAAAATTAGATAATCAACTAGTGACATGAATTCTTCCCAGTCAGTTTCACCCAACTCAGAACTATCCTACCAAGGATGAAATGATATACTTCCATTGCTTTTCCTCCTTTGTAGATCAGTCCTAGAAAGAGTGAAGCAAGGAATGGCACTTGGAGAGTAGATGTTTCACTAACCGTATGTTCTTCTGGCCTCTTTGGTTATAGATGAGACACTGAGTTTTTAGGGCAGACTTCCAAATCTATGTGGGTGGAGGGAATGAAGGGGGAAAACAAAACATCCTTTTGTCCAGAAATTTTGATCCCCCGTACCCTCCCCTCACAAGTACACTCTTATCATCTTCTGTAACCTTGGTGACACAGTAGGTGATCTGTTCTTCTACTAAGTCATTAGAATTGTCACTCATTGCATTTTTCACAAGGACTTTTCAGGTATATTTTAGTATAACTGCCAAATTCTTGTCAACACGCTCAGGCTAGGAGCACATGACTGTTCATCTCTGACAAAAGTCCTATACAATTTGCTTCTGAAATTGAAAAGCTTGCACAAGATGAGAAGAGATTAGGCCAAAGAAACACAGTGATAGTACTCTCCTGAATAAAACATTCTTTCTTAGAATTTCAAGGGAATATCTGTTGGGTCTCTGCTATTATCTATGTCTTGATAATAACAATTCTCAGATCTTCTTGTACAGAATTCTTTTTTTAAAACTTCATGAACCAACGCATTACCTTTTCTTATCAAGAAAATTGAGGCTTAAGTTAAGTGATGCAAGTTTTCCTCAAGAGTTGTCATTAAATGTGAGGCTGAGGGCCAATTCCCATGCTGCATGCTCTCATTTCAACCTCTAGTTCAGTTACACTTTGTAAAACAGTATAGCTAGCTTTTTCCTTACTGGCAAATAATCCTTCTTAGAATCTATTTACGAGTTTTTTCTTTCAATAAGAGCTTTTTGGAGAGGTGAAAATGCATTTAAATTTTACATTTAAGTAGTAGCATATTACTACAGAAATCAAGGGTGATAGCCTACAATTTTCTCTACGAAATTAAATGAACATGGTATCACAGGGTATCTGAATGTTCAGAGATAAATTCAGATTTCTTGAGACTTCAGGACAGAATTTTTTATTTGATTGTTTTGTTAATTTGTGTGTGTGTGTTCCTGTTTTCTTTTGTTTTCTGACAGTGGCCAGAGTTAGAAAACCAGAAGATTACATCAATTTCTTAGGTTTATTTCTTCCATTAACCAGTGATTTTGAATTTGTCTCTGGTTTCTTTCTCAAGTTTTACTCTTTTCTGTATCAACTACTGTATGAGAAAAGATAGGACAGTATTTAGTCACAACAAACAGACATGAAAAACCTTAGGGAGTTCATAATGGTTTTCTCATACATAAAAGCTGCTGTAAGAGATAAACATTCAGGCTTTTGTGGTCTTCTGAAGGTAAGAATTTTGACTGTGCCTTGATGAAGCTTAGTCCTTGTAATGTCTTTTCTTGAGTTTTAATCTGAACCTGTATCAGTATTGAATGATTGCAGTCACATTTAGAGGCTATGAAATAAGGTTTGAAGCTCTACTGGTGTACAAATGGCTTCTGTGAGTAAGGTGCCTGGTCTACTCTTTTGAAGGTGTAGTCAGGAAATTAGGGACGAGATCTCTCAACTGATGATGACCTGATAATAAGAGTATGTTGTCTAAAATTCTATATTCTAGTTGCAGATTTTTTTTCAAATTATTTCAAAAATAATATTATTATTATATAAAAAGACAAATGATTCAAAGCATCCCTTAAATGTTTCTCAGAAAAAAAAGGCAGACAGAACGAACAACAAGATAATCATTCTCTCACTTCCCACTTTGCACACAGGCACAACCCCCAGATGAATCAAGTCATTGTGGAGATGACACCTGAGTGACCTTTAAAAGCCTAGGTAGAATTAGAGCTTTGATTGGGAATCTCTTCTTTATTAGTGGCGTATATTAAAGTTTTGTATTAGTCAGTCTTGATTACACTAGTTGCTTCATCTACTAAAATAATGTTTTATTACTTTTCTGTTAACTTAAAATGGTTTTTAACAACTGTATGTTGCTTTCCTTCTTTTCTATATGTAAGTTAATTTTATTTATAGCTCAGCTTAGATTGCTGAGGCATTATTAAGACTTACTGGCATGGAGCCAGATTCTGATAGCATCACAGTGGTATAGGTCAAGACTTAATTTAGTCTGGCTTCTGGTGTGAACAGATTCTCCTTAAATGTCATCTCTTTGTTCTTGACATAGAATAATTGCTATTTCTATTTACATCTCATTTTCAAGCTGTAACATTTCAGTGCTAGAACTGAAAAAAGATGGAAAGGCATAGGATAAAGATAGCATCCTTGCTGTTGGATTTTAATCAAAGAACAGAAGTAGGTGTTGGTGACTTGATTTTCATCTTTTTCTCTTAAAAATGAATAAAGAAAAGTAAGATAAGGTATTTATCTTCTATTAATTGCCTCCTTAGCTTAACAATATAGGTTGGTGTAAACTTTAGTAGTATCAGTATTTATGTTTCTCTGCATGGCCATGGAAACAGATCTGGACAATCTCAAAAGACAAAAATACAAGAATAATGACTTAAATGAAAAATTATTTGGATCAAAATGTACTTATATCAAACTTAGAGTTTATCACATACTATTACACATGAGAAATAAACAATAAGTTGTTCTTCCCCTTTTCAACTGTTTCAAAATTTAGCTGTTATTTATTTTCATAGACTTTAAAGTAATCTTCAGCTTCTCTCAGCAGAATTGCTTCTTTTTCAAAGTAGCATGCTTCAGTAAAATTGAATGACTTCACGTGCTTTCCTGATGTAAGAAAAATCTTTTGTTTTGTTTATCAAATAGCTCTTCAAAGCTGCATCCTTCTCCTGATAGTCTCTTCTGTGTAGCTTGACAAACAAGTTATGTGATTTAATGAATTTTGAAACTTTGGACAAGATGAAATGCATCCATGGACAAATATAAGTTTGAAGGGATCTGTGAATCACATTGCTTCTTGTTCTTTAGTTATGAGCCTCAGAGAAGAGTCTGGTTCCACATTTTCTATAACTCTATTCTAGTTATTGGGAAAGGCTGCAGTTACTTCTCTTTTGCAGGCATAACAAGCATGGTGCCCTCAGCTTCCCCTTGTCTTTAACTCCCTTAGTCTTCCTCAATATACCTGTAACTACTTTAGTCGTCCTCAAGTAAAATCTCTCTTGTTAGTTCTCCTCTCTTCTTCTCTTAGCAAGGGACCCAAAACTAGAATGTGCTTTAGATGCAGCTTTATTCTTATAAATGTATGTATGTTTCTATTAAAAGTAAATTGTAAAGAGTACATTACTAATATATTATTGTATTTGTGAAGCCCTCCAGTTTCCAACTTTATGAATCTACTTCAGAGATTTAGTATACAAAACCTGAGTTTTGCAGAGACTGTAAATCCTTGGTACAGAAGTTATACCTAGCTTGCAGTCATAAATAATATTGTATTGATCTTTTTGTTTTTAAGCATCTACTAGAATCATTAATAATTTTTCCATCTTTTTCTAGTTTCTTACTTTTCAATAGTTTTTTCTTTGAAGTCTTTCTCTACAAAGGCATAAAATGTACACAATTCTCCCTCCCTCTTTCCATCCTCCCCTTTCCCCACATCTCCCCCAGCAGTCAAATTTCTGTTCTTTCCAGGTTTTCAGTCAGTTATTTGGGATGTCTGATGCTGATTTTGTTTAGTAGCATTAGTATCATCTTCTCCTTACTGTTTTGAGGTTTATATGCACAAAAACTTTAATCAGAATTTTTTAGGCATGTTAACATTTTGAATTATTTAAGCAGATGAAAGAGATCAATAGGTAAGGTCTTAAACATTCTTGATAGCCAGATGATCCTGTATTTCATATGCAGAAATCTTTCAGCTGCTGCCAGGTTGACAAATGAACTGAGTTTTGAATGCGTCCCCTGTTTACTTTAATGACTAAGAGTTCAGGCATTCCAAACCCCTTGTTCTGTCTCTGTATTCAAGTACATAGGCCTAATAGCAGGCAAGCTTCATATTTATTAGTTATGTATGTAGTATGTCTCTAATTTAGAACAGTCAGAAATAATTTTAAATGTTTGTAACTATATTCAGGCTTGACCTCCAAACACAGTATCTTTTAACTGCTTCAGTCTTGCACAGTTGCACCTGGGGGAAGAGCAGCTAATTTAAACAAATTTCCTTGGAACCATGGAACTGAAATACAATTCTTTATCGCCTTTGTTACCTAGAATTACTTCTTGAATTTGCTATTAAGTTACTATAAATAAAACTTCAGCTTGTCTTGCCTCAGCTTGTACTGAGACAGCTCAGCTGGTTTTAGATATTACATTATGCTAGCCTTTGCAAATAAACTAAAAAAAAAACCCTGAAGCAATTACTATAATCTCAGCTATTATTTATGGTAAGAACAGCTATTATAACACACATACACTCATACTGTAGGAAACCTTCACACTCAGAATTTATAGAGTATCTGTTGTGACAATGTAAAGCCTCGATATCTCTGACACACTAGTTGATTGATAATGCAGTATAAAGGAGCAAAATTTAAATGACTTCATAATGGTATAATCACTATTTAAATAATTTATCTGAAATTCAAAACATTAGTTGTCAAGATTTTATTGTTGTGTAATCACTTAGGAATACAACAAGAGGGAAACACCATGAGTCTAAGAACAGCCAAAATCTCTGCCAAAGTATAGTTTGGAAAGGAGCCATTTAACCTCGGGGAAAAGATCCTGCCAGAAACTTGGACTAATAACAGTGTGTTCAGACTCACTGCCTAAATAAATAGATCTTATTGTTTATTGGATGATGATATATAAAAACATATTAAGAAATCCCAATAATGGGATAATACCAACATCTCAGACCTGTACAAGCTTGAAAATAAACAGCTCACCTAATATAAATGAGCACAAAAAAACAGTCTATCCCCATTTCTGTTCTTGCTAGCCTTATTTCTCAGGAAAACGTATTTATGCAGTCTTGTCTTGTTGACTCTCCCCATCTAGCATATTCAGAACCTACTGGCCTTGTTCAGAAAAACTTACAGGCATAACCTGTCTCTAAGGTCATTACACTTTTCGTGATATTATGAAAATGGGGATAGGAGAAAAAGATGATGCCTACAGTTGTGTTCTGCATGAGAACTTCTGTGGTATCATATAAGAGAGAACAACCTGGGGTGCAGGAGAGATGAAGTAAAGAGCAGGAGAAACTCCAATTCAGTTCTGTGGTCAGCTGAGGTAAAAATCAGTGGGAATCCCGATCTTGCTAATCCTTGTGTTTGCAAAACTCCTGATTTAGTTTTATCACCAGAATCCTTAAAACTTCACTCGCATAACATAAATTTGAAAACTTTTTACTTTTCCCAGAATGCTTTTGTGTCCCTTAATTTCTCTTTGTATTATATGATTTTTTGCACTTAAATTTATTACTAGTTTTCCACTGCCATAGTATTGTGTATTTCTAGGTTAAATTCTGCTTTGACTGGTGATACAAGTCACTGTCACAGTTCACCTTTAGTTCTGTATCACAATTAGTGTTATAATTTTTATCAATAAAAATGCATGGCCTAGAATCTCCAGATTTCAGTTCTGAGATAGAACTAATGACTCTAACTCATACTGATGTCTTCTAGGAAAGGATGAGGAAGATTGGATTCTTACGCACAGTGACTTGTCTGGCCCTAGGATTGTGGAATAACAATACATGTTGCTGTACGTGTTCCTGTTGCTGCATGCCTAGAATTATTCATTTGAATTTGCTATGAGGTCAAGAAAGTCTTTCCACCCTTAGTAGAGTCCATTAAATAGAGGGAACTTTGGGTCAGACTTGTTTCAGACGATCCACAGTTTTTCTTTGCTTTCTTTGGTTTCTTTCGGAAAATGTTTCTTTAGCAAACTTTTTTATCCTATGTTTTGTGGTTTTTTTTTCCTTAAGTTTTACATAATTTTAAATTCCCTCACTAGCCATTTGCATTCAGCTTTCTGTGGTAATTTAATCTATTTCTCTCTTTTCTTGTTTTAAATGTTAAGTCTTTTTTATCTTTATTTATTTGAATCTAAGAACATTCTACTTAAATGCTTTAGAGTTACATGATTGGCTCAGCTCATACCAGAAGGAAGCTGTCATACTTGTTTGACCCTCGTACGTACTGGGGCATTGTACTGTCAGTTAACATCATTATCTTTTGAAGCTAAATTTCTAAAGACACATTTACGTTTCTCCATGTGTTTCTTTAATTAGACAGCCATCATCTGTCTTCAGGCAGCATGCTGAGTAAGAGACTTACTAGGATTTAGTTATGAACAGGTGGAATACATCCTCAAGAAATCCAGTTTTTGAAGTTTATTGCTTCATAGTGGTTGTCTTCATCACTGCTGAAACATGTTTAGCTCTTAGATGTGTGTCATAAGTAATTAGTTTCACTCTGGTAAACCTTTTCTCTTTCTATTGAGGGCTATTTGCTTTGTAGAGATTTTGTGTGTCTGTCACTGTATTGCTTGTTGCCACCAATGTGCTCAAGTTTCCAAGATGGAGGATGTTGCTTTGGTTCAGGTACTAGCACAGTCTTGAACAGAAGTTTCTTAAAAAAAAAAAAAAAAAAAAAATACCAGCCAGAGAGAAAGCATGAGAGAGAGGAGTTAAAAAGGGGAAGGCTTTTTTATGTTTTCTACATTGAATTAGATCTGCCAGAATCCTTGGATTGCAAAATTGATCATGATATTCTTTGGACATCTCTTTAATTTCTCCTGAGACACTTTGTACAATCTTAGTGAAACCTCTCTATTAGCAGAGAGTAAGAGAGATTTAAGAGCAAGTTAGACTCGTACAAATTATCATTTAAGCAGTAGAAAAAAAAAAAGTTGGGAGAAGTATGGGTTGTGGTCAGGTTCATCCTGCATGCTCATGGTGGTGCAGAAGGTCCAAGGTCAAGCCTGGAAGTCAGCTCAGGTTCTTCAGCATGGAGACCAATGTGGCAACTCATGGGCTCATGGATAAAGATGTGTGTGGAGGCCCCAGCTGAGTCTGGTCAGGGTTGTTAAGGCCTGTTAGTGCACTAAACAGCCTGACAAACTCTTTTGTTGTTTTACATGGGAATATAGAATGTTTAGAAGATGAACCTAGAGATACTGAGGAGGGCTAGTGCAGTACGTTGGCAGAGAAAGTGTTCTCATAAACCAGCTATATAAATGGCTAAATCATGTCTGATTTTACTTTATTATTTTTAATTGAAGAATCTAAATGCCATGTAAATAATGGAGGTCATGACAAATCTTCCATCTACATACAGCCAGTATGTTGCAGGAGCTGTATAGTGGGTACTAAAAATGGATGAGAAAGTATAGAAGAGTGGCATTGCGAAGAAGCCTGGAAGGAGTATCTTTCAGTTTGCCCATAATGCAGAGTGAAAGGTAGCATGAATGCGTTTGGGGAAGAAAGGGTAAATAAGTAGTAGAAGTAGATGTTATTAGCTGAGTGAAGGACTGGGATGCATCAAGTTATATATATGTATACTAAGAGCTCTAGTATCTTCTTACAGATTTAGGAGGTCTGATAGATATGTTATTGTTACTGACAAGAAAAATAATAATTAAGTGTAGTATTTTTTGCAGAGAGCCAGGTATCAACAAGAACAGCCTGATAAGTTGTGGCAGTATTTATGGTTGAGGTTAAACATCTGGAGAAGATACTGACCCAGGCAGAATAGTTACTTTTCTATTTTGAAGCTTACTTTGTTTCACTGGAATACAGTAAAGCCTTCCAAATGAAGCCTAGTCACACCCTATATACCCCTATGCGCATCCAGCCTTATCCAGAAACATTTAAGCAGATGACTGTGGTGGAATAAAGATCATTTTAGCCTCATAATTCAAGTACATCTACAAGCCATTTCAGAATTTAAATAAGGTGCCAGTCACAGGTGATAACATGCAGATAAGTGCACTGGTTAGAGCAGCTCCGCAGTGCAGACATTGGGTGACAGAAACAGAGGAAGGAGAAATTTTGCTTTAGCAGATACTGCATACACTAGATGTGAAATTGTGTTAATGCTGGGAGCTTAAGAAAAAAAAAATTGCAATTGGTTTCAGCATGTAGTAGGCTGAGGGAATTAGAAAGAGTTTAATACACCCAGGGCTGACAGGCTTAATTTGTCAGCTTTTAGCAATAGGTTTACATGATAATGGGCCTCAGTACAAGTGTTAAAAATATACTGCCTTTATCAATGTCAAGGAGTAAAGAAGTATAAAAACCCAGTTTTCTTAAAGTAAAAGCAATACAGAGTTGTCATCTGCAGTCTGGTCTTGAACTGAATGCAGTATACAAAATGAGAATACACCGCCTTCTTCATTTTTGTGTTAGTTTCATCTCTATCATTTAAGCATCACATTAGCATATCTTTGGAGTGAATGATTGTTTCCCAATTACTGAATTCTAGGTTACATTCCTCTCTTCAGAGGAGAAGAGAGGCAAAGAGCTTGAAAAATAGTTTATATATTTGTAATGCAGTGAGAAGTGCAACAGTGACAGCAGAGCAGCAAGGTCCCAAGCCACAGTGAATGACGATTCACTCAAACACACACACACACACACACACACACAAAAAAAACCAAAAAAACCAAAAAAACAAAAAAAAAAAAAAAAAACAAAAAAAAAACCCACAAAAGCAGAAGGCGCAGAAATAAAGGAAAGAAGCTGCTTACCTTCAGAAGGCCTCAAGCACACAAGAGTCTCCAGAAAAATACTCTTGCCTCCACTGCCAGCCCTTAAATGAGGTCTGGGAAGGGATCCTGGCTCCACCCCTTCTGGTCATTCAGGGGCATTACGTGCACCTGGGGAGCCCAGGTGCTCCATCACTGGTTCAAGCCATGACTTAGCATTTCCACTATGCTATTGGAAAAGATTTATTTAGGGTACTGTTTTAAAGAAAATAATGCAATTGTTACCATTAACCAAGAAAATCCTGTGGAAACTAAAAGAAGTAGATAGCATGAAGTAGATAGTAAACAATACTTACATTGTCTGAAGTGAAGGCCTTCACATTAACAGACGAGAACTTTTAAAGTAGTTACGCTTGAATGAGCAAGGAAAATATACAAGGGAAAAAATAATGCAAACTCTGGAAAAGTTGGTTATATTTCTTGCAGTGAGAGTGAAGTAAGTTAACGGAAAAATCTATAAATTGATAAAGTCACATGGAGAAACAGCACTTGAGAACAGCGCTTGAGTTAGTCTTAAATGTATCAGTAAGAGGAATTCATGTGTCTGAGTAACAGAATCGTAGAATTGTAGGGGTTGGAAAGGACCTATAGACATCATCTAGTCCAGTCCACTGCTAAATCAGGTTTCGTACAGTAGATCTCACAGGAAGGCATCTGGACAGGTCTTGACTATCCAGAGAAGGGACTCCCCAGTGTCTCTAGGCAACCTGTTCCAGTGCTCCGTAATTCTGACGGTAAAGAAAAAACTTCTTCCTTGTTTGAATGGAACTTATTCCGTTCCAGTTTTTGCCCATTATCCCTTGTTCTATTGCTGCACACCACTGTTTCAGTGTCTTGGTCCACCCACTTCACTCCCCTACTTTGGATATTTACAAACAGTGATGAGATTCCCTCCTCAACCTTCTCTTCTCCAGGCTGAACAGTGCCAGGGGTCTCAGCTGTTCTTCATACAGGAGGTGCTCCAGTACACTAACTGTCTTTGTGGCCCTCCAGTGGGCTCTCTAGAAGATCCTTATTTTTCAGATCTGATGATTTGTTGTGTCTCTTGAGAGTCAGCAGTAAAGACTCAGTTCAGGGGAGTTATTCCAGCTAGGTCCTGACTACTAGAGTAATTCTCAAGTAAGGGAGCATTCTCCAGGATTTCTTGGAATAGATGAGCAGCTACAGATTATCCAGAATACTAGATATTGCACATGAAATGATTTCCTTTCCTTTCTCCATTATCAGCATCAAGAAATTGACACAGCATACTAGAATACCTCAGAAGGAAAGATACCATGTCACCCCTATGAAAACAAAGCAGAATTATTTGATTTTACTTTTCTGTCATGATCAGTGGGCTCTCATACACATACAACTATAGAAATACAAAGAACGATGTACATGTCTTTCTTAGTGGTAGAAAAAATGATTTAAAAGATTCTATTTCCCTGAGTTGTCATTTTTGTTGTGGTTGTTGTTGTACCACGTGACAGCATGCAGACTCATGGAAAAAGGCATCTTTATCTTTCTTTCCTGTGAGTATTTAGGAAACGCTCTACTGATGATGGATGCATTGTTTTGGTGTTTCGTTTTTCCTGCACTATGTACTAAGGTTTTCCTGGTGCAAGGGCACGTTAGTGATACATCTTATCCAAATAGATGTTTTGGAGCATGTTTAGAGGAATCTAAAATTAGTCTACTTATCAAGCTGAATAAAAATAAATAATGTAACTGCTGAAGAGATTACACTCAATACACTGAGAAACTCATTTCAAATTACCTAATAGATTTGTTAAAATCCATAAACAAACTATTGTTACGTTTTACAGAGATGCAAACTACCATTTACGGTGTCAGTTTAAAAGTTAGGAAGGTGGAAGAGCTGATGCTGCACCTGTGTGAGCACCTGAGCTGGTCAAACACCTAACTGCACCAGAAAATAGGAGCTCTCACTGCCCTTCCCTCCTGCCATTCTTCCATCCACATTGCCTTGCCCGTTCTGTGGGGATTGCTCTGATGCTGAGGAACATTTCCCTTAGCAGCTTCCAGTTCCTGACAGGTTTCTCTTTTACAGACAGTTTCTTGTTGGATTGGATGGCACCATGATGGCAATGGTTGGAAATGGCAGCTCAGCTGCAGGAGTGCAGCTCTGAAGTGAGGAAAAGTGGACCTCTCCTGTTCCTGCAGCAGTGATATGTTAGAATATTTCATGCTGTCTCACATTGCTATCCAGCGTGCGTCACGTTGAAATGGATGATTAAGGCATCCAAATATCCATCTTGGTTAACAAGCTGCCAGAAGAACTGCCATGACAAAATAGCATCTCCTTTGCAGTCAGGTACTGAAGTATAATTTAAACATGAAAATAAACAAATAATGAACAAATCTGTATTTAGTTAATTCTCTTTTACCCAGATTAGGTGTGCTGGACGATGGTATTTGTTTCTTTGAAATATCTAGTTTATAAGAGAAGATGTGCAAATCCTCTCTGCAAAAAGCTGGCTTTAAAGGAGCTGACTGGGAAGGAGAGAGCTACAATTACAGAGCTCATTAGAGTCTGTGTCACCATTGTAAGAGCTGGAAAAACTCTGGGGGTTATCCAGCTTTCTGTATTATCTGTATATGAAATAGTTCTTTTAAAGGAGATTTGCTTCTTTCTTTGCAGGCAATCTGTGTGGCTTGTAGCACACATCTCACTAGATCAACTATGTGTGGAAAGAAAAGAATTGCTGTTCTCTACGCAGCAGGGTTGTCATTATTGAGTGTACCCAGTGCTGCAGTAAAGAGTAGAGATTAAGCCTACCTGAAACAGTTTTTCATCTGTAGGTACTCAAATGAAAAAAAGGACAAATAGAAAAAAATAGTTGGAACTAAACCAAAATCAGTAATTTCTTCCAAAGCTTGACTTGGAGAGATCTGATGCAAAGAAATAGGGAGTAACAGCTTTGATTTTTTTCTTTTTTTAATGTTTCATCTGAGGCTGTTCATTTTCCATGCTGGCAATATGTATATTTATTCTCCCATGCTGCCGTAGGACTCAGCAAATAGTCACATTTATGTTGAAGTATGAAGTGCAGTTCGATTTTTTTTTTTTCTATTTGTTTTTGGTAGAGGGGTGGGGAATGAAATGCTGTTTTTCTCCATGTTTCTGCATCATTATTGAAACATTTCTGTGCATGCAGTCAAATCAGATGCAGATTTTTTGCAGTTTTTGAATCTACACTTAAATTTTTATCTGTGTTTTATGAGAGGCCACGGCCTAAAAAAAAGTGTTGATCCATGTGTATGAGTCTGTGAGTACAAATGGTGAATGCGGAGTGATGAATTATATCAAAAATAGTCCTTAAGCAGATGAATGATATTAAAAAGCTTGCAAAGTTAAGGTTTTTTTTTTTCTATTATCTCTTATACATTTCTCAAAATCTTGCTATTACCTAGAGCTGTATTTTTCTTTTAGAAAGATATTAGTTCTTATTGCTGCAATATCCAGATTTATACATTTTCTCAGTCTATAAAAATGCTTTTGTGTAAATGTAGTATTTGGATCTATCTTAAGAAAATTAAAACCAAATCTTTCTTACCAACAGCTGCCATCAATCTTGCCCCTTGTTCCCTGACCCTCCCCACTCTAACCTTTAGTGCTAAACAATGTTCCTAAAGGAAAATTTATTAGATCAGCTATTTAGACTCTCTGACATCATTCTGTCACGGCAATGAAATGATTTACATGGAAAAATGTATTACCTCTGCATTTAGACAAAATGAGTTTATTATGATTAATGGTTTTACTGCAACCATGAGAGAAGCTGGAACCGGCTGGACTTTTTAAAGTGCAACATGACCTTTGCTCTGTTTTCTTCCCTATTTTCTTCATCTATTTTAAAATGGTTTGGTTTTTGAGCAAATAAAAATGATCTAGTAATTGAAGTAAGCTATAAATGTAGGGTGACCATAGTAACACTGCAATGTAGCTGGGACTAGAGACAAAAGGGAGAAGGCAATTAGCCTGAAGCAGAGTCCAAACTACCAAAACTATAGGAGAGACATATTCCACTGACAGCTGCTGGGGAAACTTGATGCTTTGTTTGGGAAGGAGCAGTGATCACCTCCAGCTGCCCCTTCTGGTCATCATTTCTGTGATTCTATGATACAAGTGACTTTGGGCAGAAGACTTACTACACAGTATGGTTATATGAAGGGCAAAGTCATGTTAATTAAGGAAAGCATATATATGTGCCTTAAAATGACACTTTCAATGTCTCTACTGTCTTCATCCTGAACTGTCTTTTTCCTTAATACAAGGATCTAAACTAGGATGAGAAAATAACGCTGGTTGAGGAACTCTGGAGGTATTTATAGACTGTCAATTTCTTGGTATTCTCCTGAAAATATTGGCTTCTATTTTATCTGTGCAAATAAATTTATGGCAGCTTTTTTCAACACATTGCTATGGGACTCACAGCCTGAAGATGAAAAGATGTTAACAATTATTATTTCTTGTTTGCATAAATATGGTGAGTATAGGAGTGTTCACACATACAAAAATATTACTGCAGTTATAGTGGGTGAAGTATTTTGAAGCTGCACAGTGAGTATGCAGTAGTTTTCTTATTTATGGATTCGAAAAATATCGGTCTGTTTCGTAAGCTTTGTGAAGTGTTGGGTTTAGCAGCTTAGCACTGAAGAGCACAGTTGTTTTGATGGTGACACAAGAATCGTGTGATTGGTGATGGGTCTGTTGTTCAGGTTGGGTCAATTTCAAAGTGGTTTTTGGTATTTCCACTGGGCGCTTTCCACATTGCTAAATGTGGAAATAAATGACACTAATGGAAGCAAATAGGTAAGCCCAGTTTGATTAATGTTTTTGAATCTACACTTAAATTTTTATCTGTGTTTTATGAGAGGCCACGGCCTAAAAATTTCTACAGTTGGTACTTGTTATTTTACCTGGTTTATAGTCAGGAATCACAAAAGACTTTCCTGCTTTTTCAGCTGCTAGAAAATTTCTTGATCTTTAATTAACATATTAAAATAACAAAAATATTTTCTTTTCCGTATGAACTAAAACTCAAAGGCCATTAAGGCAAAAACTTTCAAACCATTTAAATACTTACATTTAGGAAAAATGTCATTTTCTCCAGAAGACCAACAGTATGAATTCAGTCTGATAAAAAGAAGCCAAAGGTTGAGGTAGACACTGCTGGCAATTCAGTCTGCATGGAAACCCTCTGTCACTCACAGGATGCAGTATTTGGTAGGAGGTGTAGAACAATTTGATCTGCCGTACAGATTCTGACCCCAAATTCTGACTGGTGGGGCTTGCAGGCTGCGATGAATACCAGGGCACTGACTGCTGTTCTGGTGTCTCAGTGAAGCTTTGATGCATAAAGCTCAGTATGTTGAAATGTGAAAAATGAGCTACCAGGGGAAAATGAAAACTGGATGAATTTACTGCCATGGTTTGTCCTCGGTGACACTGACTGGGCAACTGTGTTTGAAGGCACACTTGGCAATGTAAAATCACTTGCTGTTGGATTCTGAGCCTGAAAATGCATTAGCAAGTGAAAGAGTATTTTAAGTAATAATTAAAAACCCACTCAAACAAATTAGACTAACATTTTCAGGAAGACAGTGTTATCAGAAGCTGTTTGTAACTACAAGGAGCCATAGCAACTGTTATTTTTATTCAGATGATTAATCCATGTCTTGCATTAGGCATACATAGAATCTTGAATAACACAGAATTCTGTTGTAGTTCTCTAAATTCAAGCTTCAAATTTCAGCACTGTCTTTCATTGATTTCTGCTAGTAATATGGACTCCTGAGAGCTCTGAGAGATAGAACCATCTTTCCTGAATTGAACAGTTGTTAATCAGGAGCCATGTGCTGTCATTCTCCTCTTCTCTATTGAAATGGCTTGGCTTCTCCTCTGATACTGGTTATTGATGTTTAGTTCCCTGCCGTATGTCATTTGTTCATCTGGCCATTTGTTTTCTAATGTGAATGATTTCCTTAGAGGAACGGCTAGAAAAGAACTGGAGGAGGTTTAACACATCAGTAGGCAGTGCAGATACAAACAGATATTTTGTTCTCTGGAGTACTTTTGCTTCAGTCTCTATTTGGTGCCATCAACAGCAATTGTTTGTGACTGAGCATGCACTTGTAGGTAGATATTTATTTTTAAGCTGGAGTGAAATCTGTATTGAGCTAAATCATCACTCAGATGTAATTTCCCCCCTCATCTTCCCTGTTGTCATACGGATGAGGTGGTCTCTCATCATGTTGCCAACATTTAAAGCCTCCCAGGGAGCCATATGACAGCAGGTGGTGTTTCGATGTCTGTGCGACCCAGCTGCACGCTCTGCTGCCTTTAGTGACCGTGAGGCAGACAGGAGATGTGTTGAATTGACTCTGGAAAGAGTTTTTCTTTTGCTAGTCTGCGGCTACTGTAAACGCTCTGGGACTAATCCAGAATCCCACACAATGGCAAAATTCAGCCAGCCAGATGGTTGCATGATTTCTCTTGTGACTTCTGCTGATCTGGAGGCCAGCCCCTGTGAATTTTACATATCGTGATGAGTTTCACTGATTGAAACTGCCTCAAAACCCGGTTGAGATTTGCACTGACAGCCTGGCAGTAGAGAGGATCGGCCCAGTTGGCAGATCTACCATTTCCTTTTCAGCAATCCTGCTGTTGGCTATTAGTTTTTGTTCTGCCATGTCATATAATCACAGAATCATAGAACGGCCTGGGTTGAAAAGGACCAAAATGATAATGTCACTTCTGTCCCCTCTTGAATCACTGCTGCAGTTCATTGCCAGCAAACATTTGCAAGGTTTTTGGGACAGCCTGAACTGTAGCTACAGCCAGAATGAAGGCAGTGACTTGCATCCTGGAGAATGCTTCCCAACCACGTGCATAGGGATCTGGCTTCCTGACTTCCATAATGTGAGGATGCCCATGCTTGGCTAGGCTGATTGTATGTATGTAATGAATTAAGGCCTTGTTACTTTCTAAATAAACTGCAGTTGTACCTCTCATGCAGTGTTAAAAGATGTGTCCTCATACTCAGCTTAGAACTGTGCTGCTCTGGGCTTCAGCCAGGACTGTTGTATGGCAGTGTGATGTCCAGCTCATTGCCACCTCCTTAGGACCTGTTTAAAATGGTAACTGTAGAAATAACATCATTATTGCTAGCAGTTTCAAAGGAGGTTTGACAGACAGAAAGCGTGCTGTCCTGGAAGTTGGCTTTGATACAGTTGTGGTTAACTTGCATAAGGAGAAAGGAGCTGGTGACTGAAAATAAGCTTTTAAACTTGAGGTGAAAGAACAGGACTTCTGGAAACTTCTAAACCATTACTTAGGAGTAAGTTAAAGAAGGCTGTTGCCTTCACCCTCATAGCCAACTTTCCCCTTCCAAATAACAAACTTGTTTAAGCATCTGAAAGGAAATGGAAAAGAGAAAAAAGGCTGTGTTTTGCTCTGGTAAATAAGAAAATGTTTAATAAAAAAATAGAGGCAGTCTATAATAATGACAAATAGTCTTTTTTTGTTTGTTTGTTTTGTTTTTAAATCTGTGGTTTTAGTTTTCTTTAGTTTCCTGGTTGGAAAATACTTTTATTTTTTTTAAATGTATTCCTCAGTTTGCTATTGAGGAACTGGGATGTGGTTGCTTTATCCTAAGAGCTTTATGCAAAGAGTTTATGAACTGTTGAAGGCTTTGTGCATATGTATCTGTGGGGGTGGGTCTATGAGTGAGGAAGAGAATAATGACTGCAGATGAAGAACAACTGAAAAAAATGCATGAAGTGCATAAGCTGCAAGTATGGAGCACAGCACTGGAAACAGGAAAGCCTCCCAAA